GTCAGCAGGAGGCACCGGGCCGCTCTGCCCCCTCCCCTCTGCCCCGCAGAGCCTCAGGAGCCCGGGTGGGCTGAGCACAGAGGACATCCTGGAGGAGGCGTCCCTCACACAGGGCCAGCCCCAGGGCTGCTGGTGGCACTGCCCCCTGGCGCTGCCCAGCTCATTGCCAAGAGCAGGGCTAGGAAGGGAGGGACTGTCTGCCCGGCAGTGGGCACCGGGGCTGGCCCAGGTTCTGACAGTAGTTCTGCCAGATTCAGGGGTCTGGTCAGGCAATCCTGGCTACTCTGTCCTGTTGAGATGCTCTGCCAAGCCAAGGGGCAGCCAGCCCCTTCTCCGGGCGGGGAGAGGACCTTCTGCTGGCCTAGGACAGGGAGATGAGGAGGCCACCCTGGTCTCGGCACCTGCTGAGCACTGTCTGCTGTGCTGCACCCAGGGTACAGCATGAGGGCACAGTCTCTGCTCCCAGGAAACTAATGGCGGGGAAAGAGGCCTGGTGAGGGAATTCTAAAACTGGTGGATGGGAAACAAACAGCCATGTGCTTGGGAAACCCTGAGGGAAAGAACAGCGATTGGGGAAAGCCCGGGAGGGGACAGCCCAGGAACCCAGCCTGGGTCCTCGTCCTGGCTCCGCTGCTGCCCCCTTGGGGGAGCCTGGGCCAGTGAGCGCACCGCCCGCGCCTCGAGTGTCTGGCTGGCACCTCCTGAGGGGCTGCGTGTTTCCCCAGGGGGCCCGAGGTAAATGTTTGTTGGTTACTGGGGATGCTTCCTGCTCAAATCTGGGAGGATTTCCTGCAGTTCTGCTTGTGAGTCAGCCTCCCGGAGAGCAGGAGCAGGGGACGGGGCCCGGGAGTCTTCCCAGGAGGCCTGGCGCAGTGCCAGGGAGGTGTGTGGCCCTGGCAGGACGTGGGCGTGGAGTTGGAGAGACTTGGGTTCCAGCCCCGCTCGGCCGCCGTGGATCAGCGTGGCCCTGGGAAGGTCACTGCATTTCTCCAGGTTGAGCTTGGCAAGTCCCGATGGAGCTCGTGTGCAGCTCTGCCGAGGGGCTGAGACAAATGAGACCAAGGGCCTGCTAGCCGGCAGCTGCTGTTCCTTCTGCTGCATTTACACCTGAGGCTAAGCCTGTGGGAGCTCAAGACTCAGACGTGGGTTCAAATCCTGATTCCATCACTGACTGACTATGTCCTTAGAGATTTCTTTGCCTCGGTTTCCCCCTCTGTAAGATAGGAGTGACATCCCACCCTCCCAGGTTGTCAGGATGAAGTAAGATCATGCCTGCGGGTGGTCCAGCACCTACTCCTTTTCCCTGAGTGGGCCCCGCGGAGCAGGGCCCCCACTGCAGTCTCTGACCTTGCACCCCACTGTTATCTGGGTGACACTTCTCCATGGCAGTTTTCCAGAAGGTTCAGTGGGAGGCCTGCCTGAGCTTGGGCTGCTCGAGGAGGTGGCTTCTGCCTCTGCTTCTCCCACAAGGAGGCGGCCCCTGTGGGCACGGCGAGCGGCTGGGCTCTGCCTGCTCCCTCCCAGGGCCTTCTGCAACCTCCGGCCACGCACCCAGTGCCGGCAGCTCGAGCTTCCTGAGCACCTGCTGGGTGATGCCGTAGGAATTCTGGCCACTGCTCATCTCCCGTCCGGACCCCGAGCCAGCCCTCAGTCCTCCGTTCTGCCTCCCGCCAACCGGCTTGCCACGCACCAGCAGAAAACGCTTTGAGAAGATCACTCCCCCTTTGAAACATCAGAGGACCCCTTCATTGTTATCTGGGGGTCCCCCTGCCTTCCACCCCCGGACTCTCTCTGGCTTCATCTCTCACCACCACCATTCTCTGTACTTGAACCAATTCGTCCCCTGATTGCTTAGCACCTGCAGTTCCCTCCGGAACAGCTCTCTGTCCTTCTCCTCCTCCCCCCACTAATTCCCCTATCCCCTCCCATTCCCCCCACACAAAGCGATCTTTTCTAAACACTTTGCGTTGCTGCCCTCCACCCCTCCCCTCAACACCCTCTCCTCACCCCCTTGTGTGTTTCTTTTCCTCAGGCCTTTGGCTCCTTTTCCCACCTCTGTTGGTACAATGAGTTCTGAAAGGATAGACTCCGGCCTGCTGCAGTAACCAACATCCCCAGGGGTAAGGTGGCAGAGGTGGCAGTCTCTTTTTTTTTTTTTTTTTTTTTTTTTTTTTTAATATATTTTTATTGATTTCAGAGAGGACAGGAGAGGGAGAGAGAAACATCAATGATGAGAGAGAGTCATTGATCAGCTGCATCTTGCATGCCCCACCCTGGGGACTGAGCCTGCAACCTGGGCATGTGCCCTGACCGGGAATCAGACCTTGACCTCCTGGTACATAGGTCAATGCTTAACCACGGAGCCAGGCCGGCCGGGCCAGAGGTGTCCATGCTTGTTCGTGTGACATGCCCGTCACAGTCTGCTCGTCACAGTCCTGAGGGGCGCAGGCGATGGGCGGCTGCCATCCTGGACGTGTCCGCGCGGCGGGAGGGAAGCGCACGGGAGGGCTCGGGCAGAGGGAGCCTCATGGGCCGTCCCCCAGGGGCAGCAGCCCCGGGGCACCCCAGGCTCCCTGCCCCCGGGGAACTCGGAGGTGCTCTGGTCTCACCTTCTAACCTGGCCCGCCTTCCGAACCTCATGCAACTCCTCCGTCATCGTTTGAACACGAAAAAGAAATGCACGTCACTTCCGCCTGGAAAAGGAATCCAGTTCTCTTGTGTTTCCGTCCACATGCACCAGAGTGCCTCCGTGTCCTTCCCTCTGCTCCTGGCTCCCCTCCTCCCGTGTGGATCCTGCCCACGCGGGCCTCGGGGGTGGTAGCCGGAGGGCAGGGCTTCTCCGTCTCGGCCTTAATGTTCAAAACAAACCCCTGTGCCCGGGCCCACCCCAAGGCTGAGCTGGAATTGACTTGGAGGGCACAGGCTTCTGACTTTCCAGAGCCCCAGTGCTCCTGGCCCGCGGGGTGGGAACCCCTTCTGGGCCAGGGCCCTGCATCCTCCGTCCCCGGGACACGTCTCTGTCTCTGCTCTTCCTAGAGGGAGGGCGGAGGAGGGGGCGGCCCGGCACCTCTCCAGTCCCAAACCCCTCCTCCCCCTCCGCAACCCCTGCACCACACTCTCCTCACGGCCCTGCCTGTTCTCTCTGCCTGTGTTCCCATCTTCCTCCTCGGGTCTCAGCCGGAGGTCTGCTTCCTCCGGGAAGCCACTGCCCGCCTGCCGGCCGGGCCAGGCTCTTTCTCGTGTTGGCTCTTTCCCGGGGCTGTGCTTTTGCTTCCCAAGGAGTTGCCATGGCTCTGGTTGGCCCTCTATGGCTGTGACGCCTCTGCCTCTCTCCCTGGCGGGGCTGTAAGCGTCATAGGAGTGGCGTCCTAATTAGCTCACCGCTCCACTGCCACACCCAGCGGGGCCTCGAATGTTTGGGAATGAAGGCCTCGAGGTTGAGGATTGTTTAGCGTTTGCTCCGTGCAAAGCACACTGCATGCTTTAACGTGGTTAGCCCTCCCCAAGCAGGAGGGAGGCCTGTACCTTCCCTTTGGGCCGGTGGGGACCCCAGGCCTCCCAGGGAGCAAGGAGAGGAGCTGGGATTCCAGCTTTAACCACAGCTGGGTCCTCACCCCATGGGCAGCCTTAAGGATAAGAAAATGGAGGCTCAGAGAGGTGGGGTGCCCTGTCCAGAGTCACACAGCTGACTGGCAGGTCCCTGGACTGGAGGCATCAGAGTTCCCAATGCTGAGCATTCTAGGGGAACCCGGTAAGCATTTGACTGCGTGGCACTGAGCCTCTGTAGGCCGGGAACCAGCAGCTCGGTACGCCCCGAGGTTGGGTGTGGGTGCCCCCTGGCCCCGAGCCGGCTGGATGGCCGCTGAGAGCTCTGACGATCGATCAGACGGACGTCCTGCTGAAAGGCGGGCCTGGGTAGAGTTCCTCTGCGGCAGGCAGCTCGCGTGTGTGTCCCAGATGCCCAGTCGCCTCCCCAGCCAAGGCAGCCACTTGCTTGTCCTCGTCCCCAAGTTCCAGAACTGGCCCCACCCTGGTGGAGATGGCAGGGAGTTCTCGGATCCCCGGACGCAGGAACCGTTTCCTCCGGGGCTGGACCAGCAGATGCCAAAGGCGCCCTCCTGTCCTCAGCGCCTGAGACACCCAGCGGCAGGGCTGCTGGTGGGCCGTGCAGACCCTCCGACACTCGTTTCTGGGCCCTCCCCATTGGTCTTGGCCAGGGAGGCAGCCCCCGCCGCTGAGTGTGGTGTCATAGTCACGCAGCCAGAGGAAGGGCAGGGCCGAGAGGCCGTGTCCCAGCCCCGGTCCTTGGCTCCTGGCTCGGTGTGCAGAGCGTTGCTTGTGGGGACAATCAGCCAGATGGACGAGCATCTAGTGTGGTTTCCAGAGTCCCGGGAGGACCTGGGGCTGCTTTCATACCACCCCTGAGAAGCTGTGCTTGAGCCACACCTGCTTTGGAGCAAGGAGCGGGATTTTTGAAATGCGTCCCGTGGCTCGCTGGCCCAGGAAGTGTGTCAGCCCGTTGTGTGATCACTGGAGTTTGTGTAGAGAGTTGTCTGAGAGCAGGACTGCCCTTGTGGCTGGGCTCGGTGGCTCCTGCGGGACCATGGCTGTCCTGGTCTGTAGGGATTGGGCTCAGGTTAGAATTCTGGTTCTGTTAACTGGCTGTGGGAAGCACACAGGCCTGGGTTGGGTTCCTGCTTCCAGCACTGGCTTCCAGCACTGGCTTGCTGTGTGGCGGTGGACAAGTTACTTAACCTCTCTGAACCTCAGTGTTCTCAGCATAAGAGGAGAGAGAGAGAGAGAGAGAGAAACAGGCCCACCCACAGGTAAGGATTAGTCACAATGGTGTGTGTGGACGTCAGTGCTGGTGTACGTGTGTGCGTGTGCGTGCGCGCGCTCAGTGATGGGTGGCGAATGGTCATCGTGGTGAGTGAACACTGACTCTGAAGGGCCTCCCCATTCATTGGGTGTGTTCTCTCTCTTCTCTTTGTCCCTTGCAGGTAGAGTTGCATGTCCACCTGGATGGATCGTTTAAGCCTGAAACGATCTTATACTACGGCAGGTAAGTCCGCGGATGCGAGGCCTTCCCCCCAGTCTGAGGACTCAGAGCATCCTGGGTTGCTGCTCCTTCCCGTCTCCCTGGGGATCTGCCAGCCCCCGGCCGGAAGGGTCTCTGAGCTGGAGACCCACAGCCCATGTCTCCTGCCTTCGGCGCCTTTGATTTTTGTCTTCCTATTTCCAGGTGAGCCAAGGGGAGCATATGCCACCTTACATACGGACACACACACACACACACACACACACACACACACATGTGGAAGCAGTTCGTGGGGCCAAGCCAGTCACTGTTCTGACAGAGAACTGGTGGCAGGTGACACCCCCCAGGAGGAGGCTCTCACCATCCCCATCTCGCTGAGGGAGAGCAGGTTCAGAGACACAAAGGCAGTGGCAGAGTCCAGAGTTTATGGGGTCAGCTGACCCCCAGAGCGTTCCCCACATCCCCATGGAAACAGCCTCCGGGAGACGTGAAGCAGCTTCTGGTCCCAACTCTCCGCACCTTCCATGGGAGAGCACCACCTCCTGCCGCAGCCCCCTGGCTGCTGGCGGCCAAAGGGTCCCTGTGCCCCCGCCCCCGTGAGGGAGGTCTGCCCCCTCCCCACACCTCGGGGCCCATGGTGGCCCCTCTTGGGCCCTGCACCTATGAGCACAGAGGCTTTGAAGGCCAGTGGATCTGGAGTCAAGTCCAGACAGTTTCCTCGCTGTGACCTTGGCCTCTGGGGTGAGGGTGAGAAGAGGCCTTCCTCAGAGCTGACTGGGGAGGTGGGCGCCCCTCCCTGGGCAGACTGCGCTCCTCACAGTGCGGCCAACTCGCCTTCTGGTGGAGCCGGAAGGACCCGCCTGCCCTCAGGGCTCCAGGAGGAGCTGCTGCTCCTGGAGTCAGCCGGGCCCTATGGGCATCGCTCCTGCTCCCCGAGCCAGCTCTGCAGGAGCCGCTCCGTCTGTCCACGCCAGCGGTCCTGCTGTTGGTCTCGTTATTTAGCTGTGTGTGTGCGTGTGTGTGTGTGTGTGTGTGTGTGCATTCACTGCCTGCCAACAACGTCCGGATCCCTTGGGACGCCTGTGTTACGGATATAAAGGAAACTGAGTCACGGTAGCTGAAGGCACTTGTCTAGTAAGCACAGCTGTGACCGGGGCCCGCCCTTGCCCGGACCCTGCCACCCGGGGTATAAGTCAAACTCGGGGCTCCAGCAAGGCACTGAATGAGCTCAGTGTCATTAATCACAACCAGTGGCTCTGCTAATGGGGTCACGCACCCGGCTTATCTCTGCCTGTCCTTTTGACTGTTGAGCGCCAGCCTTGCCACAGGGCCCGGCGAGGCCGTTGGGGTGGGTTATCGGAGGCCAAGATGGGATCTAATTGGTGCTGGCGGAGGGGTCAGAGAGCACTCGGAATCGCAGCCAGGAGGCGAGACGCCAGGGCGGGGGAGGCCAGGAGCCACCGTTGCAGGTGACTGGTTGGACTTCCCGTCTGCCTGTCGCCTGGAGTCTGGGCGCAGTCTTGGCCCTGGAGAGGGGTGGGATGCTGGTGGAGTTTGACCTCGAGGTCGGAGGCAGGGGAGCAGGGAGTTGGGGGGACTCCAGCAAGGGCAGCCCTGGAGGACTCCCTGGTGGGGGTAGGCCCGGGCTGAGGAGAGGGAGAGATGGAGGAGGGGAGTGTCTGGCCTGCAGCCTACCCCCAGGCCAAAGCCCGTGGCCCCTTTTCTGCCTCTGATGGAGGCCTCCATTGATTTTGTTTTCACACATCTCTTCTTCCTGTGGGTCCATCTCCTGACTTTCCCAGGCTCCTCCCGAGACCCCATCCCCTCATTCTCTAAGGCCCAGTCCCAGTCTGGCTGTCCTCGCTCTGTCACCACTGGTCTGAGCCGCCGCCAGCCCCTCACCTCGACTACCACAAAGGCCTCAGGACGGGACTCCAGGGTCCACTCTGGCCTCACCCCTCTACCGTCCTCACAGCACTGTAGTCAGGACAATGTCTTACAACCTGTCTGTGCAGCTCGCCCTCCTGCTCAGGGTCAAGCCAGTCTGCGTATGGCCCTACTGTGCTCCGAAGGCAGCTCTGACCTACTCTGCTCCTTGGTTATTCCACAGCCGATGTTTCTCACACGAACCAGACCTAGTGGGCACAGAGAGGGTGGGTAATGGGCCCAAGGCCACCCAGCCTTTACGACGGAGCTGGGTGCACACCCCGGCCCCCTGGCTTCAGAGCCTGCTGTGATACCCAGGACACGGAAAGAGCCTCCTGTGTGTGTCTCTGTGCCTGCAAACAGAAGACGCCCTGAGTCTTGCTGACAAGGACATGGAGGGCCTCAGAGGGCACAGCTCCTGCCTGGGGTGGGGTGGCACATACAGGGGCCTGGGCTTCGAACTCCAAAGCCTGGGTCCATGCTCCACGCCGGGCCTGGGGGCGGCCTGGGCCTGGGGGCGGCTTGAGAGGGTGACTCTGGGGCAGGCTGGCCAGCAGGGGAGAGGCTCAGTGGGCACTGGGCTTGGCGTCGGGCAGGGATGCGGGCCAGTGAGGAGACGTGCTGGGCTGGCCGCTGGGCTGGTGGTGGACCAGGGTGATACCCACTGGACACTCAGAGGGGCTGGAGCCACCCGGAGGAGAGGAAGGCATATTTATGGTCTTAAGAAACAGGAATTTAACCGTAACTGGCTTGGCTCAGTGGATAGAGCATCGGCCTGCGGACTGAAGGGTTCCGGGTTTGATTCAGGTCAGGGGCATGCGCCTTGCTTGCGGGCATATCCCCAGTAGGGAGTGTGCGGGAGGCAGCTGATCCATGTTTCTCTATCCCTCTCTCTTCCTCTCTGTAAAAAAGCAATAAAATATTTTAAAAGAACACACAGGTATTTTTGTAGGAAAACATGTTAATATTTGAATGACAGAAGCCATGAAAGATGTAAGTCAGCACTGTCCAGTTCTGATTCAATCATCTAATTTTCTTTACCGTTTGTTTTTTGTTTTTGTTTTTGTTTTTTTGTTTTTTGTTTTTTATCACCTTGTCTTTTGTTCTACTTGCTGGAGAATTGTTCTACTCGCTGGAGAATTTCCCATCCCTTTCGTTTCCTCCCAATGGCTGCCGCCATATTCTTTAAATGTCCAGCAGCTCTTTCTTACTCTCGAAATGTCCCCTTGTAAAAAGCGAGGCTCCTGTTCCAATGACGCTGTTCCTTTCATCTCCTGGAGGATTTGCATTTTAGGTTCCGGTTCCTTTTTGTTTGCCGCTTTTTTAGTTTCCTCAGAACTCCTTTGTCTCTTGTTGTGTCCCTCGTGGTAGAAGTGTTTCTTGACTGCCTGGTGTCTCTTTTATCTAAAAACTGGGAAAACTGCCGCGCAGGGCGACCCGTGAGCCAGGATGAGCAGAGGAGATAGGGCATCGCCGGCCCAGCCGAACCCAATGCCCTGGCCCGGAGGCGGAGGTGCTGCCGAGATGAGGAGGCTCCGGCGGAGGGCTGTCCTCAGCAAGGCCTTCCTGGGGTGGCCGTGTCCCCGAGTGGGGGCTGAGGGCCGGGAGAGGAAGGCCTCTGAGGTCGACAGCCAGCCCCCGGCCCCCTCCCCACACACTGGGTCTGCAAGCCTCTCTGATAAGTTGGTCTGCGAGAGAGCAGAGGAGGGAGGGCCTCTGCTCCTGCCCCTGCCCCTGCCCCGTAGTTATTGCCCCTCCTAACCCCTGAGCTGGCGCAGGGCCAGTTGGCTGTACCCACACTCAGGCTGAGGCAAAGTTGTGGGCTTGCTGCCCTGGCACCGTCCCTGTGCCCGGCACTTGTCCATGCACACAAACAGACTTTAACCCCAGGTGCCCCCGCCCCTGGAAATCCGCTGGCTGGTCATGGCCTTGGGGACAGGAGGTGCTGGGAGGACTCTGATCCTGGTTGTGTATGTGCTGGGCCTCAGTTTTCCCATCTGTCCAATGGGTGGAGTTGGATGGAGAGGATCTCAGGCTTCCAGCTGTGGCCCCTGGGGAGTTGTCTTCCCCAGGGGCAGTCCGTCACCCTCATGCTCTGTCCTCAGGAAGAGAGGCATCCCCCTCCCTGCTAACACAGCTGAGGAGCTGAAGAACATCATTGGCATGGACAAGCCACTCACCCTCCCGTGCTTCCTGGCCAAGTTCAACTACTACATGCCTGTCATCGCGTGAGTCCCCCGCCTCGGGCCCTGGTCAGAGTCCATCCTGCCAGCCCCAGGCCTGCACTTCCGCGCGTGGGGCGGAGGCCCCAGCTCCGCTGTTCGCCATTGTGTATACTCGCTGGACTCTCTCCGTGCCTTTGGGCCTTGATTTTCCTCTCTGGAAAGTGGGTGTGATGGACTGAAATCCAATTTCTATAGAGAAGGGACACAATGTGGGGGTTAGGAACACAGGTCCTTGTCTCAGTCTCATGACGTGATGTTGGGCACATTCTCCTGGTCCTCAGGCCCCTCATTCACACGGTGGCCTTGTGATCCGTCTGCCACCCGGGGCTGGAGTTTGGGCTGGACACCGTGCTGTCCTCGCACCCCCCCCTCGCTGTGGAGGCAGCCGCCACCCTGGTGCTTTTATGTCACGTTGCATTCCTTCCATTTTCTTTCATAGCAGGCTCTCTCATAGATGAACATCATAGTTGCACAGCTCACAGAACTATGCTTTCTGTAGTCGTCTGGGGGCAGGGAGAGACACGGGGGCGGGAGCAGTCAGGAAGGGCTGCCTGGAGGAGGAACTGTGGGATAGAGAGGGTGTGATGTTGTCCAGAGGGCTAGGCTTGAGGAAAGGCTTGGAGGAGGGTGAAGGTGTGTGAGGCAGAGCAGAGGCATTGGCTGGGTAAGTGGCAAAGCAGGTAGGAGCAGTCCTTGGGAAGGACGGTGTGTGGCAAGGACTTGTTGCTGGAAGCCTGTGGGCTCAGCCTGGAAGGCACCGAGTGTCCCAGTCCTCGCCTCCGGTAAGCAGACACACACCACCTCCCTGGAGGCCCCTGCCGCCACACCAGAACGTGCGAGCAGGCCTAGGCCCCTCTCCTGGCCCTGAGACAGAGAGGCCCAGGTCCCTGAAGGCCCAGCCCACCCAGGCCGCTAGGCAGCACCTCCTGCAGAGCTGCCTGGCTGTTTGGGGCCATGGCCCTGGAGACTCTGACTTTTCACCCCCTTGCAGCACGCACTGGGGTCACACGGAAGCCCCCCCGCGCTTGCCACTCGCCGCTTGGCTCCCCCTCTCCAGCCACGTCGGGCAGCACTCGCCCCTGGACCTCGGGTGCCCTGCCGTTGCTGTTCCCTCTGCCTGTATGCTGTTCCTTAGAGGCCCCAGCACTCCACTCACTTCCTCGCCTTCACGTCTCTGCTCACGTCCCTCTCTCAGTGTGGACTTCCCTGATCACACCACTGAAAACTGCAGCCCCTGCCCCACACCTTCCCCTGGCCCCGCTTTACGGGTGTGTACCCATAAAACTCACCATCTGACCGGAATGTTTATTTATCTTCTTTCCTTCCCTGTCCCTCTTGCTAGGCTGTGGGCTCTGTGAGGGCAGGGATTTTGTTTGCTCCGTTTGCTGTATCTCCTGCCCTCAGAGCAGTGTGGAAGGACCCCCCAGCCATGGGGAGATAAGGATCCTCTCCCTGGGAGGCCAGCTGGCGCCCCAGGGCTGGCCCCGCCCCCTCCCAGGGCTGGCCCCGCCCCCTCCCGGGGCTGGCCCCGCCCCTGGGGATTTCCCATGGCTGCCCATTTCCGCAGGGCACCTCTCAGTCTGCTTTCTAGTAACCTAGCGGAAACTCCCAGCGAAGCAGGTCCCCTGCCATCTGGTCACACTCACAGTGGCCCTGCAGGTTAGTTTGCGCCTTGCTGCTGGAGCCCACATTCAGAAATGACAGCTAAACCACTGAGCATGTCTGTTCTGTCCCAAGCACTGACTCAGATGAGTTTTATGTTTAACTGACCTGTCCTCAATAGCCCTTCGGGGGATGTGTCAGAGGTGACTAACGGGTTACGCAGCAGATAAGTGTGGGAACCAGGGTTCAAGTCTGAGTCCCAGATATCTTCCCTACCCCAGAGTTCCCTCCACATTTGTCCATCTGTGTCCTTTTCTCTCTTTTTAAAAATATATTTTTATTGATTTCAGAGGGGAAAGGAGAGGGAGAGCTAGAAACATCAATGATGAAAGGGAATCACTGATTGGCTGCCTCCTGCACACCGCACACTGGGGACTGAGCCCACAACCTAGGCTTGTGCCCTGCCCGGGAATCAAACCATGACCTCCTGGCTCATAGATGGACACTCAACCCGGAGCCACGCCCACCAGGCTTTAGGATTTCTTTGTATTTTTTGGCTATTAGTCCCTTAGCAGGCATCCGGTTGGCAAGCCTTCTCCTCTCCCTGCTGGGTTTCCTCCGCCGTGCAGCCTCCAGGTGATGCAATCCCACGTGTCTATTTTTGCTCTGGTGGCCCGTGTATGTCCTTCTCTCTTATTTCTCTTCCCTGCTGGCCTACATCCATCACTCAGCAGACAGCGAGGGGCCGCTGTGTCCTAGGTTCTGGCCGCGGCTGAGGGAGCTATCAGTGTCAAGACAGATGGAGGAGCCCTTGTGCCATGGCCACACTCACTGGGAAGGGAGATGAAAACTGGCTAATAAACCAGTGATGTTCAGGGGAAGGGGCGGTCGGTCAGGGCGGCCTCTCTGAGGAGGTGAGGCTGGAGTGGAGCAGGAGAGGGAGCACAGGACGATCTGGTGAAAGACATGGAGGCTGGGAAGCTGCAGGCACAAAGGCCCAGATGTGGGAACAAGCTTGACTGTCCCTTTGACAGAAAGAGCTGGGGAGGGGAGGGAGTTATACAGACGGGGATTTCGTTTCACAGGAGAGGAGCCCTCAGGCTGTAGAGCAGGGGAGCGTTATGCTTTATGCTCTGATTTGTAGGCCGCTCTGTCTGCTGTGAGGAAAGGCACAGGGAGGTGTGGAGACCAGTTAGACGGCGGGAGAGAACCAGAGTGAAGGGGATGAGAACTGCCAGGTTGGAAGCAGAACTGACAGGACTGGCCGTGCTTCTAGGATCTTCTCCAGCAGAGGCCCAGAGCTTGGCACCGGAGGAGAAGGATCGGGGCCAGAGTGGTTCGATCTGCCAAGGGTTGGGCCAGACTTGTTCCTGGAGCTGGAAGGACACTGGAGAGGGCTGTCCCAAGGGCTCCCTTTCCTTCCCTTCTCTTCCCAGGGGCTGCCGGGAGGCCATCAAAAGGGTCGCCTATGAGTTCGTTGAGATGAAGGCCAAGGAGGGCGTGGCGTACGTGGAGGTGCGTTACAGCCCGCACCTGCTGGCCAACGACAAAGTGGAGCCGATCCCCTGGAACCAGGCGAAGTGAGTGACTGTGCAGAGGGGCTGGGGCCTGAGGGACAGACTGCTGGGAGGCCCCGACCCAGGAAGACTTTGATCTTGCCCCATTCCCCCCCCCCCATCCACCTGATCTGGTCTGCGGCCTTGGGAAGATGGGCTTCACTCGGTCCTGAGAGGGTTCCCACCCCTCACCTGGGCTTATGCTTTAACTTTGGGAGAAAGCCTTTGGCATTTGTCACCCCTAATCCTAGACACAGGCCTGCAGTCACTACTTACCCAGTGACTTCCAGGGTCCTGCTCTGACCCCGTAACTGGAGTGAGTCTGGCCCATTCCTGCTGCTTGCCTGGACCTCAGGGATCTAGAAGTGCTGTCACCCAGCCACTCTGCCCCTTCTAGCCGTGACTGACACAGAACAGGTGGGACTCACACGCGGTGAGCTCAGCAGTACTCCCCACCTGGAGGCAGGGCTGAGAGTGTCTGAGCCACCCCCACCACACACACACATACACACACACACACACACACACACACACACACACCACCCCCCTCTCTAGGTCTGGAAGTGCCGGCAGTTCCAATGAAGCCGGAGGGAGTGTGCTAGTGCTTGGGCCGGCTCCCTCAGTGTTCTCTTAGAGGCTGTGGGCTGGTGAGGGGACTTTCCTCCCCCTCCTCCCCTCCTCTGACCCAGTCCCAGGGCTGTCCTTCAGACCTTCCTTTGTCCCTGGCCCATCCCTACTCCTCTCTCCACACAGAGGGGACATCAGCCCGGACGAGGTGGTGCACCTAGTGAACCAGGGCCTGCAGGAGGGAGAGCGAGACTTCAAGGTGAAGGTGCGGTCCATCCTCTGCTGCATGCGCCACGAGCCCAGTGAGTGTGACCTCGGCCCTGCCCTGGGCTGCGCATCTTACCAGCCCCAACCTCCCGGCCGGTGCTGGGGTGTGCCCCTGCCACCCGGTATCCCCTTGAGCCCATCAGCTGCACCTCAGGGCTTCCTGAAGTCGTCGGAGTCTTCCTGGGCAGGCTCAGGGCTTCTGGCAGCACTTTTCTCCCTGGGAGACCAGGCACACAGCCGCCTGACCTGCAGGCGGTTCAAAACCAAGGGAGCCTGAACCACGGAAAACGAGCTAAGCCAGGCTCTGGTCAGCCCACCGTTCGCCCCTCGAGACCCTGTGGGCTAGGCCTCCTGTGGTTCAGGCTGCAGGACTATGAGTAGGTCTGACTTCGGGGACCTGAGGGGTCTCCCTTGTGACTGACACTGATCAAGCCTCCAGGGGACGTCCGAGGTGCAGAGCCCCACTGTGTGACCGTGGGCAAGTCCCATCCCTCCCTGACCTCAGGCGCACGCTGTCCACTGTGAGCAGTGAGGGCCACAGCAACGTCAGTGCAGCCTGCCTGCACATAGCGACTCACCTGAATGTCCTCCAATCCTCGCAGCAGCCTGTGAGACTGCCGTTGTTGATCCCATTTGACAGATGAGGAAACTGAGAGGGGAAGCTCTTGCTCTTCCATCAGGAAGGCAAAAAGCTCTGATTTGAACCCAAGGCCATTTGGTTTCAAGGCCTGTGATTTTCCACTCATTTTAAAACACTCAGCAATGAGTTTGCCGGTTAAGAGTCCCTGGTTCCTTAGCAATAGGGTGAGTAATGCCAGCGAGTCACGTGTTAGATTTAAATGTGAAACTGTGGGCCCCCCTCTCCTCGTCTAAGTGGGGAGGAGCCCACCTTGAGGGCTGCTGTGGGGACCATGGAGAGAATGGCCATATTGGCCATGGTCGTGCACCGAGCCCAGGCTCTGCCCTGGGTGCTCCACACAGCATCTGGGCACAGCCTTGCTGACCCTGTGCAGTCGCTGGTGGTGCGTCTCTGAGAGGAAGTTTGCTGAGGCCATGTGGTTAGGCTGTGGCAGTCGGGATTTGAAGATGGCACTCTGGGCCCTCTTTCGTGCTGGCCTCGTGTGGAGGGTGAGTGTGGTGGGGCAGCAAGCAGGCGCTCGTCCGGGAAGCTCGTTCCCCAGCAGCGGCTCCTGACAGAGCCCCTGGGGCGTCTCGCCCGCAGACTGGTCCCCCGAGGTGGTGGAGCTGTGTAAGAAGTACAGGCACCAGACTGTGGTGGGCATCGATCTGGCTGGGGATGAGACCATCGTAGGGAGCAGCCTCTTCTCTGGACACCTGAAGGCCTACGAGGTGGGTCCTGGGGGACGGAGCGGGGACTGGCCGTGGAGGCTCCGGGAGAAAGCAGCGTGGCTCTGCGCACAGCCGGGAGCCGTCGCACGGCTGCTCAGAGTGAGGTCTCCTGGGTTCCCAGGCCTCTCATTGGGCCTGCGGGCCCTCGGGGTGTGAATTTGGTAGAAAGACAAGACCCCACTTGCTGTTGGGAGTCTTTCTGCCTGTGACTTGCTGTGACCTTAAGCGAGATGGTCTCTTCGCCGGCCTGTCCGGGCAGAGGGCTCAGCCTTCTGTGGAAGGAGCGAGGTGCAGGTTGGGAGTGGGGCTCCGGACAGTCACTTCCCGGCTATTTGACCTTGGCCATGTTCCTCACTTCCCTGAGCCTGCGGGGGGCACCCCAGGGCCCGCCCCGAGGCACCCAGCACCGGCTCTTGCCCTTCCAGGAGGCTGTGAAGAACGGCATTCACCGCACAGTCCACGCCGGGGAGGTTGGCTCCGCAGAGGTGGTGCAAGAGGTGAGGCGGCCGGCGGCCGGCGGGGTGCGGGCCCTCTCCCTACACCCGACCCCCCTCACTGGACTCCATCTGCATCCCTGCAGGCTGTGGACAGGCTCCATACGGAGCGGGTGGGGCACGGCTACCACACCGTGGAGGACGAGGCCCTGTACAAGAGGCTGCTGGAGAGGAACATGCACTTCGAGGTGGGAAGCTAGGAGGGGCCTGGGAGCGGAAGGGGTGGGCCCTCAAGCTGCCAGGTGGTGCTGGAAGATGGCTCATGGGAGTCGGCAACAGGGAGGCCGTGTGACCATGGCCGGGACCGGTGGCTCCAGGCCCGGGACGGGGGGTGCAGGCCGGGCACCCTGGGATGTCTATGCCAGCCGCATGCCTGCTTGCTCTTCCAGGTGTGCCCCTGGTCCAGCTACCTCACGGGCGCCTGGAACCCGAACACGGAGCACGCCGTCGTCCGGTGAGGCTCGCCCCTGGGGCGGGTTCAGTCTTGAACCAGGAGGGCCCAGGGTGGCGGAAAAACGCAGGGACCGGGCACCGGCTGGGCTGAGTCTCCTGATACAAAGTCTGTCGGAATCCTTGGGAAGCAGAGTTACCATCCTTGTCTTACACACGAGGACTCCAAAGCTCGGGTGTGCTGTAACCTGACGACATAGCAGAGCTGGGGCCTGCAGCCCATTGGGCTATACCAGGATGTCCTGCTGCCCCAGAGAAACGGGCACTCCAGACTCTGCCTCCAAGGGTCAGGATGGGTGCCTCCTGCTCACGTGGGCTCTCTGGGCTCCTCTGGGCATTCCCACAAGCACCGCCCTGAAGCTTTTCCCTGAAGGCCTGTCCCACCCTCCACTGCTTCCACCCCGCAGTCCAACGCACAGCCATGGCCAGTCTTCAGACTGTCCTCTGGCTAAGCCCTGGGGGTGGCATCAGGCCTTGGGAGGGCATAGCCACCAGCCCCTGACCCAGGATGAGGACGGCAAGAACTCGGGGTGATCACGGTCAGGACAGCACTGGCTCGGGCTCCGACATTGATGACAAGGGGGTGCTGAGCTCAGCTTTAGGAGAGGAGTGTGCAGTACCGTGGCTCATCCGGGAGGTTCTTGGAGGCACATGGGCACACAACCTGTGGGCTGTGGAAAAATTCAAGAGCCATCTACCCAGACATGGGGGCTGAAGGGAGAAGTGATGGCCTACGAAGATGGGGAGGAAGAGGGCCTACGAGAGGACCCAGGAGGAAGTGACAGTTTGGGAGCAGGCAGGAGGAAAGCCACAGTGTGGTGTCTGAGGATTCGAGGGAAAGGGTCCCATGAACAGTCCACAGTGCAGAATTCTGCACGAGCCGCGTGCAGGAGGAGCTGGAAGGTCATGGGGCTCGGGCCGTGGGCAGGGACCGTGCCATGAGTTTCTTGAGAAGCAGAGCCCGGCGGGATTGAGGACGGTTAGAGTTGGGCTAGGGCTAGGGCACTGACAATCCTCCCAGAACGTTGGCTGTGAAGGGGATGGCTAGAGAGGGTGGTAGCTGGAGGAGGGTGCTGTGTGTCTCCCCTTTCCTACCGATGCCTGGCTCTGGCTTGAGCTCCTAGTCATGTGGCCTTGCACAGGTCACCCAAGTTCTCTAATTTGCTTCTTCCTCTGCCTGAGGGGACCTCCCAGGCTATTTAAAGATGTGAGGCTCAAGGAAGGTGGCGGGGTCAATCTGCAGCGACTGCTCTCAGGAGAGTAAGGGGAGGCTCTTCCCCCACATCCAGATTCAAGAGGGACAAGGCTAACTACTCACTAAACACGGATGACCCGCTCATCTTCAAGTCCACCCTGGAAACTGACTACAAGATGACCAAAGAGAAGATGGGCTTTACCGAAGAAGAGTTTAAGAGACTGGTGAGTGGGTGTGGGCCCTGGGCTCCGGGACTGTGAGGCCTGCAGGGCCTGGAACCTCCGAGGGTGAGGAGTGGGTTTACCTTAATAGGCCAAGCCAGACCTAGAGTTAGATGCCTTCCCCAGGGGGACATCCTGGCCTGGGGACCAGGTGTTTCATCCTTTGCTTGCCCTCAAAGACTCTGATGAAAACCATCCACCCTCTCCCCAAGTCGGCTATAAAATCCTGCACTTTCAAGCCGTTCACAGACCCAGGGTTGAGCTCTTGATTTTTAGATGTTACACTTCCCGAGCCTGTCTCTGCAGGACTATCTCTTTGGCCCCCTACATCCCACCCTGCCTCTCAAAGTTTCTCCAACTTCGTTCTCACATTACCGTATCATGGAGTGCCACTTAAAATTTTTTTCTTAAAATATATTTTTATTGATTTTAAAGAGGAAAGGAAAAGGAGAAGAAACATCAATGATATAAGAGAATCATTAATTGGTTGCCTCCTACATGCCCCACACTGGGGACTGAGCCCACAACCCAGGCATATGCCCTGACCAGTAATCGAACCATGACCTCTTGGCTCATAGGTTGATGCTCAACCACCGAGCCACACTGGCTGGGCTAGAGTGCCACGCCGAGATCACAAACCCGCACGGTCTCTGCCCTGGCAGTTATTCACCTTCACCTTCCTCTCCGAGCTTAATCACCTGCCCACATTCAGTGAAGAGAGTGGACCATCACTAGATTGCCCCGGGGTCCCTTCCACATTCTCTGGTTCCATGTTGTCTGCCATTCTGGCCCTTCCAGAATATCAATGCGGCCAAGTCCAGTTTCCTCCCAGAAGGTGAAAAGAAGGAGCTACTGAATCTGCTCTATAAAGCCTATGGGATACCACCTGCAGGTATGTTCTCGTCTGCGCTTCTGGGCTGCTGACTGCCTGGCTCGTGTAGCTTTCTGGGGGGCCCCCGGCGAGACACCCTCTCTGGGGCAGCACCAAGACTTGCAATGATGCCTGGGCACAGGCCCTGGCTGGGCAGCCTTTCACCCCGGCCTATTTTCTTTTTTTCTTAAAGTTTTTTTATTTTATTTTTTTAAATTGATTTTTTTATAGAGAGGAAAGGAGAGGGATAGAGAGTTAGAAACATCAATGAGAGAGAATTATCGATCAGCTGCCTCTTGCACACCTCCTACTGGAGATGTGCCCACAACCCAGATACATGCCCTTGACCAGAATCGAACCCGGGACCTTTCAGTCCGCAGGACGACGCTCTATCCACTGAGCCAAACTGGTTTCGGCCCGGCCTATTTTCTGTAAATGCTGTTTGGAGGCTGGTCTGAGGGGGAGAATTTCTGAAGGTCTTAGCTGTTCTGCTCCTTCCTGCGTGGCGTTGGCATTCTCGGGCTCTAGGTCTCCGCAGGGGACGCCTGTGGCTCTGACGCTGTGATTTATGCCCTGGAGGCTGGGACTTGCCTAACCGTCTGCTTCTCTGACCCGGCCAGCAGAGCGGCAGCCGTGAAGGCGTTTTGGCCGCCGCCCCCCCGAGCCGCGCCCCATGGATGGAGACTTCTTAGCTCTGGGGGCCGAGTGAGCCACCTTTCCTCCTCGGGGAAGACCATGATTTCCATAGTCGGCACTGCTGCTACCTGAAGCCTGTGTGCCCCCGCCGACCACAGCGTGGCATGATCAAGCCCCTCCTCTGGTGAAGCCCTCCTCCTCTGGTGATTTATGTGGAAAAGCTGGTGTTCAATAAAGTAGCCAAGGGCTGGTGTTGGGCAGCACGTGATGCGTGGTCTTGGGCGGGACCAGTGGGTGGGGTGAGAGAGGAGCGGCTAGGGCAGCCTGTCCAGTGGCGGCTGTGACTGGGCAGCCAGAGCTCCCGTGCTGGGGGAGGCCCTCGCCTGCCCTCCCTCCCGAAGCAGCCAGGCTTCTCCCGAGGAGTCCTCTGCTTACAGGCTCCCTGGACTCTCAGCCCCTCCCGTTCCAGGTTTTAAGGGGAAACCTTCCTTTTGGGTTCCTGAAGCTGGACGGGTGAGAGGGAAGAAGGTCCTCGGACACCAGCTTCTGCTCAGGCATTTTCTTACTGTGGCAGCAATGGACCACAGCCAGCTGTGGACGTGGCCGAGCCCCTGCTTGTGCTGTTTAACGGAGAAGAAAGAATCTTAAACCAGTCACACAAATCACCAGCGTTTATTTCCTGGGTCCCAGGTGTTATTTATCTTGGTAGAAAGGAAGGACAGAGTTGATCAGGTAGTTTTGAGCATGAAAATCCCTTCCCTAAAACTGGATCTGTAAAGCTCCAGGAGGGAACCTCAGAGCTGCGTAGATGCGCGGAATTTAGATTAAAATGGCGCGGAATTTAGATTAAAATGGCTTTCACAAAAAAAGTGAATTGTCAGCTCCTTCCTTCTCTGCTGAAAAGGGTTTACAATTTTTTAAAGTTTCTTTTTTAAAAAAGGGACGGGATCAGAAGGTCTTGACCGAGACGATTGGTTTTGGAGACGAGGGGGCAGAACTGGGCCATGGTGCCTGCCCAGGCTGCCCAGGAGAGGAGCTGCTGTGGGTGGGCCGCTCCCCCGGGTGAGCAGGCCCCAGCCCCCGAGGCCCAGTGCCCAGTGAATAAATAACATCCTGTGGTTACAGTGTCTTAGAAGTGTACCTGGGCACGGTGAGGAGGTGGCAGCATGGAGCCTGTGGGTGTGGGCAGAGGGCCTTCCCAGGGTGAGGGCCTCTGGGGTGCCTCAGGCTGACCTTGCTTGCCTGGAACACGGGGCTCAGAAGAGGCTGTTGGGCCAGTGCCAGGGCTCCCTGTCCAGGTGGGGAAGCAGGTCTCTCTTCCAGCCTCCTTGGGCAAGGTCAGACTCAAGATGAGGTGGTCCCGTCACTGCTCGCAGGCTGGTTGCTAGCCTCCTTGTCTGGGGCACCTGCCCCCGCCTGTCCGTCTGGAGAGAAGGGGAAGAGGAACATATACACAAACGTAAAGCACACAAGGAGAGAGGGGAGGGCCAGCCAAAATGGTAACAGAGGATGAGCCCTGGGTGCAGGAAAGGAGCCGGCTGAGAGGTGGTGGCAGCCGGAGGGAACTGGAGCCTTGTCTCTAACATTTCAATGCTCACAAAGAAAATGCACGTGGCATTACTAGCATCATTAACTCACTTAAAGGCCAGGATCATGGATGGATGCTAAAAGCAACAGGCGAAGGGATGTTAAGGATCAAGGGCTGTGCAGGTTCTCCAGGAGGAGAGGGCACACGGGAGGTCCCAGCAAGTCACAGGTGCTCAGAGAATGGTAGTTCTTATAAGAGAGCAAAGGGCATTAGAAAAAGGCATCAGACCAGGCCAGTGCAGGAGGGTACCAAGGTATGGCCTGCATCAGGGTTAGGGGTGGAGTCTACGACTGTTTCATTCTGCGGTGTCCTCACCAGACCAGCCGAACCTCCCTCTCTGGCCTCTGTCTTTGCATCCTCAGGCTAATTCCCAAGACTAAGAACCACCACCCTATACCAAGCGCCATATAACCCACCCAGCAGCCTGGGGTGTGATTAGGGGCTTGATACAGGTGAGAAGACCGAGGCTCAGAGACGTGAATTGATTTGCCTGAGATCAAGTGATGGAGGGAACCAGTGCCATTTCCAGGAAATTCAACTCCTGCCAAGCAGCATCGCTGGGGTTTATAAAGGCCTGTCACCATCCACACGGCACCATTTTGCCCTTGAGGAGTCTTGGGAAGCTGGTGTTAGTAGGAGCCAGTGGTGCAGGCAGAAGTTGGACATCTGTCTCTCTGCCAGGCTACCTCCTATCCTGGATGGTGCTCGTACAAAGGCTTGGTCCCGGAGGGTCCGTCTGGCCCCTCCAGAAGCCTGACAATTTAGATGGCACTTTGGGCAAGTTTCCCACATTTCAATGCCTTATTTGGGCCTGAGCCTCCTGCCCCAGCAGGTAGGAAGCATCTTGTTAGATTCCATAGCAATCTCTGCTCTGCCGTTTCCTTGCTGTGGAATCCTGGACAACATTTAATCTCTGAGCCTCTGCTTCCTGGTCCTTAAAGTGAGGATGATGACACCTCTACCTGTTCATGAAGGGGTGTGCTGAGACTGCCTCAGCCAATGGTAACGCTTCCTCTGTGCCAGTCCCGGCTCTCCTGGCCCGAGGAGAAGGGCCTTAAGCACTTTCCTCTCCAACCAGCACCCTTGGGACTTTTGGGCCCTTTTGAAGATGTGTCACAGCTACCCACTGGCAGGCAGTGTCCTCATTCCTTAGGGCTTGTCTGTTCTCAGTATAAGGCCAAGGAAAGAAAGGTTTGTGCTCCTCACATGAGGAGGTATCGGGGAAGACAGGTTTGCACTTAGCATGCTGTGCATCCATCTCCGGGAAGCTTTAAGCAAACATTCTGAGCAGGAGGATCAGACTCTGATTGCTGCTCCCTCGGTAAGTGCCGGACTGAGCACGGAGGGCCTGCCTGCAGAACTGCTCAGAGCAGGGCTCCTCAGCCAGTCTGGCCTGCACTCCCCCATGAGGGCTTCACTTCCTTGAAGTGGGCACTATTCCTTTCTCAGGTCCTTTTTAATGCCAGGCACCCTGGAAGGAAAATGCACCTGCTAGGAGACCCCTCAGAGACTGTGAATTGGGTGGAACAGGTTTTAGAAGGGTCTGGGCCCATGACGAGTGGCTGCAACTGGTAGAGGGAGACTGACACAGCTCACCAGAGCTGAGGGTACAGAGGCCTGGCAGCATGCCCAGGTGGCAGCTGGACAGTGAACAGCCATTGACTAGGCACCTCTACCATGTTCCAAATGTTGCCAGGCACCACGGGCACAAGACAAAGATGCTGTGTGGGAGAAGCTCGCAGCTGGAGAAGGGGCACTGTGCTGAGTGCGATTAGAGGCGAGAGGATGTGCCTGCCCCTGCTGGAGAGGGGTGGCCAGGGAAGGCCTCTCAGCAGAGCAGCTGGGTTTCTGAGGATGAGGGGGAAAGCCAGGGAGGGCAGGGCATAGGAAGCAGGGTGCTTAGCCCATAAGGGGCTTTTAAGAACAGAAGCACCACGAGAGAACGATGAGCTGAGGTGAGCAGGTGAGATGGATGGAGCTCATATGCCTGGGTAGGGAGTGTGGGCCACATAAGGGGGTGCTGACAGAACAGAGAAGGGGTGTGGGTTGTGTCCCTTGGGCCAGCTGCTGGGGGAAGCCAGGTTCTCATTCTGTTAACTTGCTGGTGAGCAAGCTTGTCCAGATTAAATAACATGACAGAGTCGGCCCATGCCCCCACAAAGTCATCTCTGTTCTATACTCAGGGGAAAGAGGGAGGGAGAGGGGCATCACAGAGGGGACAGCAGATATGGTTTCCTCCACTCATTCAGCCTGTGGTTGCCAGACACCTGCTCTTGCCAGAGAACAGAGGCCCCTGCTCTCCTGGAGCTCATATTTAAACCCAGGAGACCTCGCCAGAGTGCTGAGGAGTCATGTGACCAGGACGGGCCAATTGGAGCTGCCAGAGAAAGGCCCTCTGAGCACCTGGTATCTGAGCTTGGGCATGAGGTGGCAGCCACAGGGCTGGGTGGCGGCTGTCTAGCAGCGGAAACAGGGAGACGTGCAAAGTGCTGAAGGGTTCTGACCTGCCCCCTCCAGCGCCAGCTCGCCCATGTCTCCAGCCAGCTTCCTCACACTCACGGCCTCCGAGTCTCCCTGGATGTCAGGGACCGCATTCCGACGGCCTGTCCGGTCACAGGAGATGAAGTCCGAGTAGGAGGACTCGACCTCCATCATGCCTGTCGCATCGTTCGTCAGGCCTGTGGGGACAAGAGCGGGAGGGCAGTGAGTCCAGGTGCATTTGGCAGGGAAGACACAGCTCTGGTCTCCAACACCAATGTCTTGACAAAAATGTAGTTTGGAGGGTGGATCAACAGGACCTGGTGTTTGAATGATGGGGAAGAGAGCTTTCTGAGATGAAAAGTGGACAGAAGTGTGGTTTCCTGAGAGGGGGAGTGTTTTGGGGAATGACGGCAGATGAAGATTCAGAGCTCCATTTTACCATGTTAACTCAGAGATGCTGTGAGCCCTTCAAGGGGAAAGGCAGAATAGGCCAAAGAGAGATGGGGTATGGCATGGGGAGGAGAGGTAGAAGATTAGAAGTCAAGGCCACAGATTTGGTGACTAACCTTGGTTAGTTGTATAGCCTAGCAGTGTTTCCCAAACTTTTGACATAATTTTCGTAACGCTGAGTACCCCTCATACTCATGAGAACGTAGAATTAGGCGCAGCTAAGCATGGTGCAGTGTATATCCCCACCAAACTCCAGTGCAACGCGTAGCCCCACCAAACTCTTCCCGTACCCCTGGGGGTACGCGTACCACACTTTGGGAAACACTGGAGAGAGAAGAGAACCATACATATAAAGAGCCATATACATTTGAAAAATTATGTGGGGATCATACTATACATTATATTTTATAGCCTACTCTTTGAAACATTCTCCAACATGTTATTGTACCATGATTTGATCTGTCCCCTAGAAAAGAACATGGAGGACACACATATGAGCCTAGCCAGAGGTCAAGGACAACAGGGGGGTGGAGGCATGAGTGAGGAGGGGTGGGGGATGGGAATGGGGGGATGAGGACAAATATGTGATACCTTAATAAAGAAATTTTAAAAAATTAAATTAAGAAAATAATAAAAAGAAAAGAACATGGAGGTACTTTCCAATTTCACACCATTACAGACACTACTAGGTCTTTATGTAAGTCCTTAGAGTTTATTCCTAGCATTGCTGAGCTAAATGGAAGGATGAAATAATTTTAAAACATTGTTTTGACACATTTCCAAGTTACCTTCCCAAAAGCACAGTGGGACAGTTAGGGGTGCCGACTGCCCATGCAGTCAATAATCCGCATATAACCAAAGTCAGCCTCTGCATACTCAGATTCCCAACAGGCAGTTGACCCTGAAGAATGCAGGTCTGAAATGTGTGGGTCAATTTAAAAATACGCATGAAAGTCGACCCACACATTGTTCAAGAATCAACTGGTAATGACAAAAACAATGAGGGGAAAAAACCTTATAAATTCATTGCTGTTCTATTTATATTCCCACTAGCAGCACACAAGACTGTCCATTTATCTGCACCCTTACCAACAAGTATTGCCATTATATGAAAAATGACAGTGTCTGTAGTGTGAGGATGTTTGCCCCAGGTGGTCAGTAATGGCGAACCGTAGGGGGTCACCTGTAAGTCCAGCAGGAAGCCAGGCATTACATGAGTTATAAAGTATTCATAAAAAGAAATGCACCAGATGGACCTGTACTGACATAATCGTTTATCTCAGAACCCTTGCTAACTGCAAAAATGTAGGTTGCA